TTTTTTTAGGTTTTCTCTATTGTAAACCTTATGCTTATCTCAGGAGGAAGGGGTTAGTAAATACAATCCAAGAATTGTTAGGTCTGGCCTTTGCCCTTGACCTCTGTAACTTGTCTCAGGGGGAATTCCAGCTTGTATATATTTTGCCTCCCTCATATCCTGATACAGCATTTGGTTTATCCTTAATATTTAGTTTGAAATTCAGCTTCCCACAAAGTCCCATAGTTCGTGTCTCACATCACATGCAGAAAAACTTCCTTTAATTTCTATACAGCATCAGACCTGGCCCATGAATAGGTCTCCTTCTGCTGTTCACTCCTTCACCAGATCCATGGTTTTTCAATGCTCCTTGCTGCCCTCCAGCCCCTAGGTGGAGCCCAGCCCTGAGGAATCCCTGGACTGGCCTGAATCTGGCTGCTGCTGGGTACCTGGCACCGGCCTCAAGCTTTTCTCCAGCTCAGCTGCCTGCCACTCGGGGGGCTGCAGCCTGGATAGCATCCTGGATGCTATGGAGGTCCCACTGGGTCCTTAGCAGGGCATCGTTCAATGTGAAAAAGCCATCTCGAGTGCGCCGCACTTGGGAACAGACAGCAGTGCTCTTCAGCTCCAGGCCTATCTCATGCACCAGCCTTCGTACTTGCTTCTGTGTCTCATGCTTGCACTGAACTTCTAAGAGGAATTCTGGAGGTGCAAAGTGGAGGCAGCGTATGCCAGCGATCAGCATTGGGGACTTGCCCATGGGCCGGATCATGCCTCTCACAGCCATCTCATAGGCCTCCTGAGTCTTCAGATCGAGGTTAGAGTACATTACCAGCGCCTTCTGATGGGAGCTTTGGATCATTGCCAGGATTCGGTCGAACTTCTCTCTGGTCACATGATCATAGGTTGTCTTCTCCACCAGCTGCCCATCCTCACTGAAGTCGTCTGTGGCTCTTCCCAGGAGGCCACGCACCATGTATTCCTTGGTGAGATGAGTGTTGTACATGTCAGTGAGAAGCCTGCATCCGTGTCCCACGCTGAGCACAAGCACCCCAGAAGCCTGGGTATCTAGCCGGTGTCCCACACCAATCTTCATACTGGTGAATTCTGGTCCACACACCAGGGGATGGTTGCGCAGCATGGGCACACTAGTGGCGGTGAGGGTCAGTTCCTTGGCTTCACAGCTTTCCACCGGGCCCAGCAGGAAGTGCACACGCTGTTCAAGGGCAGGAGGTTTCCCAGCGTTGAGTCCTTTCAAAAGCTGCATCTCTACAGTGTCCCGAAGGTGTTCCCACTTTAGTCTTGGAGGCTTGTAAGTCGCGAAAACCCCATGTAGCCGAGACAGGCCTGCAGACCCCATTCCTGAAACCCGCAGCCTGATCGAAATAAAAGCTGAGATCTAGACCGAAACGCCGTACAACCCTATCCAGAACATGGCTCTGACTATGGGCGCCTATTCCTCTTTTCAAAAAAGCTATTCTTAATGTTATCTTACATAAATCTACAGTTAATTTCCATCTTATTTTTTAACAGATAAGATAATCAGGCACAGGGCCTGTACCCTGAAGGACACTGCACATGCCATCATTGCGGCTGAGTTAGATCCAGAATTTAATAAGCTCTGTGAGGAAATTAAAGAAGCAAGGATAAAAAGAGGTAAGTTGTAGCTATGATTTTGTCACTGAAGCCTACTTCGTTTACTATTTTTAGACTAAAAACCATTGAATGGTGTTTCTTTAGGGTCACTACTGTTAATGAAAATCACGTGGAGGTAGAGATCTTTTTAGGTCCAACGTTTTTCTTTTTTTTATTATTAAATTTTATTAGTTTTAATGAACATTTACGGAGATTTTGGGTTTTCATTCATTCATTGTTGCACTGTTTTCTCCACC